TTCTGAGTAAATGTCTAACTCGGGGAATGGGGGAGATGTTGACAACCAAAGAGCACAAATACATACTTGGATGAGAGAGCAGGAAAGGACAGTAGAAAAGGCCAATCTTTTCCCCACCCATTTCCTCATATGAGATCCTGGTTTCGTGGCCATGAAAGCAACCACCACCGTGATGGTTTTAGCCAGGACACTAGAAATGGCCACTGAGAAGGTGATGCCAAAAGTGGATTGTCGGAGAAGGCAGGTCATTTGGCCAGGTTTGCTGAGGAAGAACAAAGAGGAGAGAAAACAGAGTAGAAGAGAGAGAAGGAGAGTGTAGGTAAGGGCCTGGTTGTTGGCTTTAACAATGGGAGTATCCCTGTGCATAATAAATATTCCAAGTACCCAAGATGTCAACAAGAAGAAACAAAGAGTAGTGGAGACTAAACCAATTCCTAAGGTTTCTTCCAAAGTTAGAAAGATCACCAGTTTCAGGATACATCCTTTCTTTTCTTTATTTGCATAATGGCCTTCTGAACATTCAATACAGTCAGCCAGATCTGGAGGAAAAGTCAAGGAATTTGTTATCTATGCAATCCACATTTTGGAAAATTGCTTTCTGAGTGGGTGCCAGCTGTTATTCATTTTGAGTTTTTTCTGCTGGTTATCAGTATGATCATGTTGATATGAAACTACAGCTTTCTTCAATGGTATCATTTAGGATTGGCATAGAAGAAAACTCTATGGGAAAGTCAATTATTAATTTTAGGGAAAAACACACCAAATGCCAATGAGGTTGAAAATTTTAAAAATAAATTAATAGATATAGATCATGTGATCAGAGAAGATTTATCGCTCAATGCATGTATACACACACACACACATACACACACACCTGTATAGGAAAGACGACCTGCAGGAATATTATGGATAAACTATGACACCTGAAAAACTGATTTGATCCACAGGTATTGAAATGAATATTTACCCTAAAGAACCAGTAAAACTATTAATTAAATACCTTCTAATGTAGTGTATTACAGTTTGCTTAAGTCTATCTAAGGAAAAATTGGTGCAATATCTAACCTACCATTTTGATTTGAAATCTTCCCTTCTGGACAAGGAATACAGTCATAGCAACAGAATTGTTTTTCTTCATCCCCTTTCTTCCTGGATCCAGGGGAACAATGGTCATTACACAGAGAAATTGGAAGGACCTGGTCATAAACATGAAAGGTTTTGCAAAGGGTGATTTTTAATACAGTTTCTAATTCTTCTTCTTTCTGGAGGGAAGGAATTCTTGACTTCCCAAAGGACTAATGAATCTTATCTATGAGATTTATGCTATGCCTTAAAAAGGTACTAAAATTAGAAGGATGTGCAAAAGGGCCTAGTTGAAGGACAGCAGGGTCAGTAAATAAATGCATTATTTAACTGAAATATGAAAACTGTCCTCTAGATTGAAATCTCATTTTGTCAATTTGGTAATTGTTTGATCATGGACAATATTTGTACAGAATATGCCATTTCTTCTTTCAAAAACAGAAATCAGATTTCTAAAGAGACTGTTCAATGTGGTTTAACAGACAAAGACATCTTCATGGGATCCTAATGGATCGAGAGATAGTCCATTCAATGGTACATACCTGGTTAAAAGCTGGGTGCCAGACAATCAAGTCTTCATCAATTAATAATTCCTTCCCTTTTGGCGCACTGGGATCTAACTGTCCAATTCTAACTCTCTGGAAGGATCTGTTTGGAAAAGTGATCAAGTTGATGAAGTCGAATCCACCTGTTGCTTCCCGTTTCTCATTCAGGA